CAGTTTATGCATATTCCATTTTACCACCCACTAGAATTGCACCTAGTTAGATAAGATTGTTAGGTTTTTCCTGCAAGGATGTTCATATATGTAAGGCACTTTCTTTTGACAACGTTACGACACACGCACGGTAGTAAGTTATTGAATGAAACAACTGAATGAGAGAATTTCGCGGCTTTCTGAATTGAACACACGCGTTTTCAATTAGCACGCCTTTCCATTGGTGTGGGAACGGTGTGTGTATCTTTGCAATTCAATTACCATACTTTGCTTGACTTATATAATAATATCACTACATACACACCATGGGAATTTACCATCGGCAGTTAATTATTGGTCGACCATTCTATACTTAAGTGTAGATATATATTTAGACGTTCGGATAATGTGTATATCCGATTTTGTGCCTATCAGCTTGGAGTATGTACAATATAGGTGTGACTTATAGTCGAATATTTCATTGCAGTTTTCATCAATAAGGAATAACCATAACTCCTTGCCAAATTGACCTGTCATGGGGGGCAACTTGAGTTGTGCCGTTAACAGAAGGGGCGTAAAAGACCCGGACAACCTGCCCTATGGAGCTAAAGGGACAGAACTCGCCCTAAATTCACCGACAGGTAAGTTAATATAAAAGTTTTTATCTTTCAACACCTTCATTTCAGTGAAGCCTGAAAAGTATAAGGTAGATAAAGTGTTTAAAGCATACTTTATAACGGACTGTCAACCTCTCCAAATTAATTTATATCGGAATGCCTCTGAAATGCATGACCTTGTACAGAAATTACAGTCACGTAGTTGATAGCCAAAACATGTCAGGAAACAGGTGCTCTCTTATTAATTAAGCTATTTATCCTTTGATCTGAAGATAAATGGTTGTGAATTGTTAAAAATACAGGAAAAGACAATATGAAAGAAAGAAAGAAAACTGAAGATCATGCTATTTTTAAAATTTTCAACATTCTCAATGACATAATTCAGGGCCGTCTATTGTTGACACACAATGATGATAAAGTCACGATATATCTGTATGAGGGTCCTGTAAAAAAAAGAAAGAAAAGACACTATAGATATTGCATGTTTAAAAAGGCAGTAAGATTTGGCATTGATTTGTTTTTTTTAAATCGTTGAAACCATTTATATTTCGAAAAAGACCTAACAACATACTCTAAAGTCGTATACTAGTATATTCATTAGCCACAATTAACTGGATTATGATAAATACAGACTCCCACGCGTAATCGTGATATATTATTAAATGTGAATAGGATTTCCGTTTTCCCACTAGAAGAGTACCATACAGTTTTTAGAAATGGTTTATTTGATTGTAATATGTTAATAAATCAAATAACTTCAAAAATGGTTATGACGTCACAGAAACAGGCACTGACACCGTTTTCCCATTTCACTGATTTCTTTTGGGACATGAAACCCTTTGAGGAGAATCCCCTTAATCTATTTTTAAAATCAATATATCACAACATAATTTTATACATCTGTTCACTTTTTTCATGTTGCTGAAATTAGATTTATGACACTGTATTATTTTTTTTTATTTCTGCTAAATGTCATAAATTCTGCTGCTGATAAACACACAGGAAGCTATCGAGGATTGTTAAGTATTCTACCATGAAACATAAAACATGTTGAAAATTCTACCATCACACATGCATTGATTGCAGAGAAACGAAGCGATGCGTCTAAATATATGTACATGACTTTTACTTTTATGTAAGTGCAAAATGAGTTAAAGGGACCCAGAATGGCTTGTCACATCAATTTTTCTTAATTGGTTAGTAGGAAGTGAAAAATAAGTGAAAATCGAAAATACATTTAAGCAGTGTTACAAGCATATACTGTTAGTAATTAGAAATGTAAGGGCATGTACTAAGTGTATATCGTTTAATTACATGTAAAACTGACAGATTGGATTTTGACAGTGTATAATGCACGGTGCATTAATATAAAATCAGCAGTGTAATGAAAAATTAAAAAAAACAAAACAAAACAAACTTTCAATTTTAAGAAATTTTTTCCAAAAAAATATGTTGCTTATATCAGTAGGAAGATGCAGGTAGGAAGTTAAAAATTTAGCATCTCGCCTCCTGTCCATCAGAAACTTTTTCTGTATATCTATGGACCAGATGCCGCACATTTGTTAGCGCTTCATGGAGCCCCATACAACCTCATTAACGTACATTATTGTCTTACAGCAAGCACCTGTTTACAAAAAAAGTTACTCCAAAGTGTTTTGTTGATATTCTCTATGTAAATCTGGTTTTATGCTATCAGGTTTTTATAGAATCATCAGGCATCCAGATAGCGTTTTTTGATCTATCCATGTTTTAGAAACAGGGACAAAATTAACATCATATTTTAATCTTGTTCAAATGAAAACATGTGAAGACGACTGTATGTTAAAGATTATCTTGACGATGTTTAGTATAATAAGATTAACGGATGGCTGAAATATGGATACTTTGTTGTGCATTCCTGTGTTTAATATCGGGCGCCTTAAAGTCTACTTTATGTGGTATATATTACCCTGCTCTGCTAAGTGTTGGATGCATTTCCCTTTTCCTTAATTAACGCGAAAAAATATATGATTATAATTTTCAAACAATAATCCACGTAATATAAAACAAACTTATTTGTGAAATGGTTTTAAAAGTGATATGTTATTACTCTTTTTAATGTTGCGGCGGGAAATAAGTTAATTTTTATTATTTTGTTTTACATATGTTATAAAATACATAAAAAAACTCAGTTGATTTTGTTCTTATTCATCTTAATTGGGAGTGGTACTAATGCAATATAGATAAGGAGATTCTGATGAGGTTTTCCGATCTAGTTCTATATTATATGGGCGGACGAAAATAAAGGTTTTGTAAACCCAGAACTATCTATAAGTGCAGATTACCTATATGCCCCTTTTCCAACAACCCCTATCCCCAGGGACGGGTGAGGCTGGATGGATTCTAGGTCCTATCCTTTGTCTAAACAAAAGAGCATTGTAACAAGTTCTACGTGGAAGTGACATAAGGATAAATAATACTCCTAATTTTGCGACACAAGGAAAAACGATAATATATAATAATTAGTTATACAACCTCTCTATAACATATGATACACTCTATATGTATTTAGTATAATATTTCAATAAATATTACTCAGAATTAAAATGTCCGGGTTCAGAGATTCTAATTTCATTTCCATCCCTTAGATTTTATATTTAATAGAACGTATTATTCATTTCTATTTTTATTACATAAAAAGGGAAAGTTTATGTTGACAAACAAGGAAATATATCGCATCATACACTATATTTTCTTATCGGCACTTTATGTGCTAGGCACGCTAAGAATTAGTATAATCTTCATTCGTACAGATACACATGCAACTTCAGATGAGCTGGAAGGCTTTCACCGAGGAGGTATATAAGGACTGGACGTTTTTATTTGCTTTTGGATAAAAATTATGTGATACGTATAGTATTAGAAATGTTTCATCTGCTTCCCAAAGCTCTGCGACGTGGGCTATCACGTGACGACCTATTCTCTGGTGGGTAAATTGCATAATGTCTTTCTGAATATTACATAAATTCTTTTATGCCATTTATTGATTCTGCTACAGAGTAATCACGTTAATATGCCTGATTGTTAGTAAATTATTATAGACATCATGAAAAACATATTTTGATTCTGCATATTAATAAAGACAAATTCTCGTGAGGGAAGAATATTAAGTATAAAATTCGAAATGTGGCCTTCCATTGATTTAAATATTTAAGAAGTCGAACAGAAATAGAGCAATTAAAACATGGGAAACGAGATCGGATGGGTTTTAATTAACAGAGTCTTTACGTTCTTGCAGAATCCATGAAAATCAATCAAAAATCCCGGTATCCGAGCTAATGTTTTATTTATTCAGGCCCTGGTACAAAATACTCGCCATCTAACGCCATTTCAAACACACCTCTTGTTTTGTCAGCTTTAAGTTAAGGTCATCTGGTGTTCTGTCTGATCGATACTTCGGTAGCGGCAGTTGTCTATATAGACGATATCGATCTTCTATCGCAGAAGAGTCTATTACACTTTGTTGGCTAGCTCTGGGATTGTGTAGGGAATTTGTTTTAATATTCTTAGTAATCTAATGGTAAGTGAATGTGTCTGATGAGATTTTCTATTATGCATTAATAACATTAAATGGGCAGAGAACTTTGAGAGAGAGAGAGAGAGAGAATTTATCCAGAGATGCTTAAGCTTGGTACTTTGATCATAGCATCCTGATAAATATACACACATTTAGAAAAAAGAAATCACGAATTTATCGTTTATTACATTTGTAAATTGACTTCATAATGACCCATAAATGTTGCTGTATTTAATTTAATTTGATCAATTTTTAATTAGCATTGAATCTTTTCAATTTACTATCGACTGGAATCAATTATGCTTGTGGGCAGCACCCCCCTCCCCCCACCCACTTTGAAGTGTACGCCCTCACCTCGGAGCACTTCAGCTTTTTGCATGAATGTATGCTTTTCCATCACAAACGATGTAACTTTCTACAAAATGTTCCATAAGAAATATACACTGCGCCTGCTATACATTCAAGCTAAAGTTATATAGGTTCAAAAAGTGAGTTGTATATTTAATTCGGAAAATGTCAAATCGAAAACATGTATGAGGCAATACATTAACAGAATTATAAAAAATGTTAATTGTTCTCAGATTTCATCAAAGACGTCGTAAAACCTGACAATCTGTCAGTAGCTCATCAAAGACCCAGGATGAAATAGCATTCAACAAGTGAACTTAACCAGTAACACATGTTTGTTATGTTATCTGCTATAACAGTCAATTTACTAAGGTAACGTCTGCTTAGAAACAAACATATCATAAGACAGACACGGATTGTCATTCATTGTTAAAATCCGTGATCTGACCAGAGAAAAAAGTCACGTGGTACCAATTTACACGACTTGTGTTTTAAGCTTTTTGGGATGCCTTCTGCAAACTTTTACTGTCTTTCGTGCACTGATATTCAGCAGTGATGACATAGATTTTTTTTTAGCTGGGGCATGCAGAATTATTCTCCTTCTGTCTCGAGCTTTCGCATTGTTTGATCGATTTTGTTAGATGCTGCCAGAAAGTTTGGAGTTAGTCGATAGAACGGAGGTGTTTTTAAGATTCTTTCTCTCTTTAGTCATGCAGGTTTTTCACGGGGAACACGTTTACCCTATTGTCAACTGATGGATTCAGTGAAGGTGTAACATGTTGTAGCTGCTATCGACATAACTCTGATTATAAAAGTGTTTTGAAAGTCGATGATTCTGCAAATTTTTCATTAGAGGATTTCACCACTGTTGGATGTTTGACGTCACAGCCTTAAATGATATGCTATAATTACTGTGACATTGGAATATTAAGATTTTCTACTTTCTTTTCATCTTTGGGACCACTTTACAGAAGTATGACATAAGAAAATGAGTGGTTGTTTTGTGTTTGTAAATCGCCAACTGTTTGGCGGATCTAACTATAATTGTCGGCGGCATGAACAAGAAGCTTGGGCAGAACAGTGGGATTTCACAGATGAAGGTTTTCTGATATTTTGTTTTCTAAAAATGCACTTTTCACCAATGTGTTGTGTAACTACAACCAATCCTTCATTTCCTTTTTCATTATCATGATAATTATTGTTCCTGGTTGCGCTATAGATTTAATTATACGTTACATGTAATAAGACCTGTATTCTACGATGCGTTTCAATTTGCTGTATATTGTTTAATGTAGATATTTCAGCCTGTTGTGCTTCTGTCTAAACCTTAGGCAATTTCCCTGCGCATCGATTTTATGAAATTATGTGATACATCGTTATTCCGACATTTATTCATAATTTTCAGAGCCTTTCTGGTATTTAGCATTGATAATAAAAAGCTGTTTTGTTTCACAACCACTTTCTTCTTTTGTTAGATATACCTGATGAAGAGACCTCGAGATGGAAATTTTGGCAAAAACTTCACTTACGTCGAGGCGATCAAAAGCAAAAAGAACTTGAAAAGCTGAGATCAGACCTAGAAAATGGCAACCTTCCGATAGTTGATGCAACGCAAATTGAAGAGGAGACCGGAAGAGCTCATCGAAGCCACAGTTTGAGACCGCCCCCTAAACCACCCAGAATGTTCCTGTTCCGGTCTTCATCGATCAGTACTCCACGGAATTCTGCTGTAATAAATCCGGGATCAGAACGAAATTCATTCATAATGTCTCAAGCTTACCAAAATTCTCGAACCCGTGACAATGCTAATATTCCGACAGCACACGTTGCACCAGTGCGTCAGGAGATCCCCGTGCAAACGAATGAAAATAATAATGATATTTTGGAGAAAAAGGAGGAGATAATAAAAAATGTAGACGAAGTGAAGCCGATTATTTCACGACCCGCCAGGAGCGAGCAGACATTTACTCCTAATCGTATTAAAATCGTGACCCCCGACCTTACTCCGCGCAGAAATTTCAGTCGACAGAGACGTGCTTCGGAAATAGTCCCGCAAGAGGAAAGACACAGACTGATAATACAAAGTTCTTTAGAACTTTTGTGTCAGAAACTTGATCCGCTTACCATTTTGAATGAACTCAAAGAAAAAAATATCATTTCTGATGAAGATATTTTGGCATTCCAAGAACATCCCGATCGTCGACTTGTCTGCGAAAGCATTCTTCACAACTTACTAGAGGGACCATATTCAAAGTTTTTCATTTTCTGTGATATTCTTAGAGACACCAATGATTACAAATGTCTTGCTTTGATCATGGATGTTATGAAGGATACATATGATGTGGTTTACAATATTCCTGCCATCGCTAGCGAAGAAATCCCAGTGATGGAGGAAGAGAAAACTGTCACATTTGAAATCGGGTATTACAACGCTGAAACAGGCGTTCTGAAGCCTGTTGTAGAACTAGAGAAAACGAGAGACACAAGTAAGAGATTTTCCAGGGATTCTCTTTTCTTCAAGAGAGCATCACGTCTCTCGTACATGTCTGTTTCAAGCGAGGGACGAGGAAGTGACGATTCCGTCTTGATAAATCATGGAACCCCAGTCATCAACATTTGCATTTCCGGACATTCCTTGCACGAAGGTCGAGCCCGAGCTCTGGCAAAGGTTGTGAGTAAGTACAACTGTATTCTCGAGCTAAGGATTGGCAAAACCCAACTGACAGGACGAGACATTGGTTACATGTCCCAAGCAATCCAGTCAAGTACAAGTCTTACTGTCTTAGACCTGAGATTAAACTCGATCGGAAACGAAGGAGCACGACTTTTAGCTGTACCACTGGCGAAGAACACATATTTACGGCAACTTAATATATCCTCCACAGGAATTGACCATGAGGGGTGTAAGAACCTGTCTGACGCTCTGAAACAGAATAACACCGTTACAGACTTAGACATGAGTTTTCTGGAGATCGGAGACAGTGGCTGTATTTGTTTGGGCAATATGCTAAAGCAAAATAAAAGTATCAGTAAACTGCGCTTGCGCAGCTCCGGGATATCGTGGATTGGGTGTGGTATTTTGTTTGAAGGTGTTCAGCAAAGTAAGACTCTAACTGTTTTGGACCTTAGTAGGAACTTTATAGGTGATAACGGAATGGAAATGATGTGCCGCCATCTGAATGAGAAGTGTGCGCTTGTGGACCTTAATTTGGAGAACTGTGGAATTACGTCATCTGGATGTGCAATGTTGGCTGACGTCATCATGTCAAACAAAACGCTTACAAACTTAGATATCAGTGTTAACTTCATTGCTGACGCAGGCGTAGCGAAGTTATCTGCTGCTTTAGAACGCAATAAGAGCATTAAAACACTGGGCTTAAACATGTGTGGAATAACGAACGATGGATTCTCAAAAATGCTCGACGTGCTGGAATGTAACCCTACTCTGACTTTACTTAAACTTTGCTATAACCGTTTGGGAAAAGAACACACAAATCCTTCCGCAACGTCCGATGACTTGAAATACAGAGTGCGGATCGTGACGTCATCAAATCCTAAACTTAAGATTCTTCTATGGGGCAATTCATTTGATGATTAAGCGCTATTTTCACCGTTGTTTGCATTATCAGAGCCGTTATTTATGTCGGTGCAAACTCATTAATGGAATCGTTAAGTAACGAAATTGTTCAAACATCATAAATGTTATTCAAAACAAGTATGTAACTACAGTATTTAACCTTCATATAATAGATGCCACACATAAAAAAAGAAAAACATTTTGTTTTTTTAATATTTGAAAAATATCCTTTGCATTACATTGTACAGTTTGACCAAGCATGAATACTATTTCATTTTGTTTATTGAACTAGCTCAGACCACAAAAATGCTTTACATTTGTTGCTAAACTGTTGTTGTTTTGTCGTAAATAAAGTAAAAAAAATGCAAGACTTGTAATTCGTTTTCAATTGAAAGGGTATCTGTAGTAAATACATCTATGCATTGCTCTTAAAATGTAGCAGAATACAGCATTAAATTTTGTTACAGAATAAACTTGTAGGTTTTGAGATGTGATTTCTTGCAGCAAAACCGTTTGGCTCAAATGGGCTTTTTAGATTAAAGTTTTTCTGTCGCTTAGCTATAGGCTAACTATTCATATTTTTATTTCTTTTTCAAATTAAGAGGGCTGGGTGGTTGTGGCCATTTTCAGACTATATTGATCTCCTTTAGAAGAAGAGCTCCATATAAAGATATACAAAAATGATCAAATTTTAAAACTAAAATGTATGAAATTTTTGTTTGCCAAATGATAGTTGACAGCTTAAGATATCATATCTAAAAAAATAAGTTATATCTGATGGTTAATTTGTTGAGCCCTCAGCCTCCTTAAGTTGACCATTTGCAACCATACTTGACAAAATGCATGCAGGAATACTGCCGGAAAAGAAGTGAAAAGCCGCATTCCTTTTGAAGTACAGTTAATAGTAGTTAGAATAGGATAGGTTATTTTAATTGTTTTTTCTGACGAATCAATCAGCTAAAGAAGAAAAAAAAATTTTTTGAAAAGTTTCCTTTTAATTGTGTTTTCAAATCCAGTGCGAAGAGCCGGGGTGGATTAGTTACACAGAGGGGCCATATAAAAGATTTTCTTACGGGAAAATTAAAAAACCCTTAGATTTTTCAGTTTTAAGAAATGGCTAATTGCTTACTTAATTATACCTAAAACTCTCGTCTGCTAGAGAAATTTTAGGTGCCAATCAAAATTTTTAGGCGCCATGGCGACTAAATTAGTCGCCAATTAGAACCCTGTTATGTTTGATGTTTATGGACTAAATCACCAGGCTCCAGGAAGGGGGAGACCACGACATTGATCATATTTTTCCATTTTAACCAAATGCTATATACAAAAATGATTGAAAACGATAAGAAGAAGCTGAAGTTTAAGTTTACGACCCACGCAGAACGAAACAAAATGAATGTGACACAGGTGAGCCTAAAAGACAAATCAAAACCTCATGCATTGTAGAGTAAGGTTTGCACGATTTGCTCCTGAGGCTGAGATGGAACTAATATAGGGTAGCATGATTTAATGTAGAATATATTACACAAGTACTAAGAATTATTTTTGTGAAAATTGTCTCAAAAAATACCTTCCCATGTAGTGAAAGTTCAGCTTTGTTCAATCCTCGCCCTTGAGCTAGACTTTGGGCAGTGATAGCTTTTATAAGTAAAGTGATAGTTGTCTTCTTAATAATGGCACTGTCATTATTATTCAGACTTAACCTTTTCAACTCGTGTAACTTTAAATTTGATCATATCATAGCCAAAGGACTAAAGTCACGGTGAAAATCAAACATTTTAGATGGCATTAATTGCGTAACTACATTCCAATGAAGTATAGATTTTTTGTTCCAGATTGTCCAAATTTTGGTCCACAAGGCTGGGGCTACTGTAGGAACTTCTGATCTTACGACAGAAAATAATTTAAAAAAAAATATGCATTACGTGTGAATCATGATTAATCAGATCAATAACTATGCATGTATTATAGTGTAATTTTGCTGTTTTTGGTTTGGATTGTCCCCGCTTGGCTAGTGAGGGTACAAATATGAACAACTTGTATTCAGCCTCTGTCTGCTGGCCGTAAAGGAAGACAAGTTGTATGTAAAGGTTAGAAATTTTATTAACGAGAAACCGAAGCTCAAATAAAAATCAAAGTAGTAATTTAACAAAACATTCTGAAAGTGAAAATAGTAATAAGTAACAATTATGAACATTTAAACTTTTTCTCTTTTTTACAGAATTCTGTTTCATAATAATTTTACAAAGCAATTTCAAGTAAACAATTTATTTGCATTACATCGATTCTAAAATGATGAATATACTTAGATACATAATTATTTATACAATAAAACATACGTACCTTAATGGAAGACAAGTTGTATGTAAAGTTTAGAAATTTTATTAACGAGAAACCGCAACTGAGGTTGTCAGGGCGCGCACGGCCGTTGAATACCCCAGAACCGGTTTCCATGACATTTTTACAACTTGTCGACCTTCCCAGCTCCTATGTGATAAGGATACATTCGGACAACACGCGACAATTGTTTTATAAGTAAAGTGATGAAAATCTCAACTGACATACAGTGTGTATCTAATTTTTATATCTTGTCCGCCTATATTCGTCTAGTACGAAATATCTTATATATGTCCAAATGATTGAATGTGTTTATGGTTACTGTGCTTGTTCTATGTGTTACAGTTTATAGCGAGCGAAGCGAGCGGCGCGAAGTGCCGCTCGTCACTGCGAGCTATTAAAGCAACACCTGGGCGAAGAGAAAATCTGGACTTAGCACAACGATTTTTTTTCAGCAGTTACCTCGAGACCCACAATGCATATTCCCCGTGTCTCAGAATATTTTATCATATACTGATTAAGACCTGTTTCAACAAAGAAGCACCGCCCCTGTATTCACTTAGTATGATCTTGCTGTACTAACAGATCGTGTATGACGTCACCGACTTGCTGGACGAGCAGTCTAGGGAAACAGAGGAGTGGATCAATCTTTTTCAAAATTTGTTAATGTTTACAAGAATTTTAAAACTTATTATTTTTTTCATATAAGATGGTTATTAAAGTTAAAAAAATGTCAAAAAATTATACAAGAACTGATGCTTTACATGCTTTGCTCTTATATAAACGGAGACTATGACGTAGTTAAACAGAGTCATGTGACCATGTGTCCTTCTCCTCCTTAAAATTAAGTGAAACAACTGCGCAACAACGGTCGCACCGTCAACATGTTAAACAAAAGGAAGTCATTTTGACCTTCTTGACAATTAAACCTAACTTTGCACTTAAACCACAAACACATACGTATAGTACAAAATAATGACAAAAATGGAAATAATAAATAATATTGAATTATTAAGGTAAAAAATGAAAATAATACAAACAATTCACATTTTTTCCAGGTTTTATACATTGTAGATTTCATTTTCTTTAAAACATAGCAACCAGGCCATGTAAAGCGAGAGCATAAAATAGGGGGACGCACTTTTATTCAGAAATAGTAATTTACACAAATACAGGAAGTGAAATATCAATCACGGATTTAAAGAAAATAGTGCGAAATTCGTCATATGTATCTTTCCATTGCATCTCTATTTCGTAGCAAATGAATACATTTCTTCCTATATTGTACACGGACTTTGCACACATGTTAGGTTAAAAGTAATTTTAGAAAAAATCATTACATTTAATGCAACAAAAATCTTCCAATGCTTCTATAAATAATATTCTATTTGAATCACCACAAGCAGAAAGAAGTTCCCCGAAGAACGGCACGTTTTTTTCCCATCTGACAAATGCAGAGTTATCTCTCTTTGAACTACTAAACCAATTTTAAAACGAGTTAAAAAGTATTACAATTTCATCAATTTCAGTTACCCCCACTTCAAATTGGCATTTATTCTTAATCAATAATCAACCCATTTGATTGACTATACAATTGTGCCACATTATATACAATCTTACAAATAACTGTAAAGAATTTCGAAAAAAAATCAATCCTGTTTCGTGAATTTAATGAACAAAAACTGGAGCATAAAAGATAGCAAATTTGCTAGATCTTAGTACTTTTACGAAGACGCTTCAATTCCAGATCTGCACTGGAGAGTGCAATCCATCTAATGTGCCTTAAGCATACTATATTATTATACTTCTGCAAGTTTTTTCTTTATAAAAATATGATGAATAAACGTGCTTTTTTTTCTAAACAGCCCGAAACGTGGAATAGTTTTTGTGCTATTTACCCATGGTGAAATAGTCATCGAACTATTCACCTGCAGCATTCCATTTCCCTCACATTTCATCTCGGAACTCTTCTAGTTTTATATCATGACGTAACGCAAGTAAAGTCTGCTTCGATATATACGGTCTATTCGGACAATAGCAAGTTTGCTGTCCCCTCTACAGCAACTATTTTCCTCGCCTGCGCCTCGGGAAACAGTTGCTGTCTTGGGGGACAAAAACTGGCTAACGTACTCATAGCCAGTAATTAGGTATATAATAACATTGTCCACCTCAACATATTTATACATATATTGACTTTAAAAATGTGCAGCAATATACTGACCTCGTGTGTATTGTATATTGGGACATTTTCTCCTCAGTTTTATTTTTGCCCTCTTCGCCCTAGAAGACAGAAATGGGCGAATTTGAGATGGGACCAATTCAAAGAAGACAATATAACTTCTTAAACAGAACTGTGACTGGCCGAATTTAAAACAGGGCAAAATTGTTTGCAAGTGTGAAAGGTCGAAAATAACACAGGGTGAAAATAACCCTGTATACAGTATACAATTGTTTGTCGATGTAAAAAAAATATTCATGAGCAAAAGTATGCTGAGCTCACAAATATATAGAGAATAATACATGGCAAAATCTGTATCACACCCCATATCAACCCGAGACTCCAATATCAGCCCGAGGGCCGAAGGCCAGAGGGCTGATATTGGTCGAGGGTTGATATGGGGTGTGATACAGATTTTGTCATGTATTGTTGTTTTTATTATATTTACATTTGCAAATGTTTTCTTTTATATAACACTATTAAAAGCAACGCGTATCTATATCCGTATAAACACGGGTTCCTCGCGTCATAAACGTTCGACGTAATTTCTCAGTGACGTCATAAAGGGTCGACGCGCAATCAGTGGATCAAACACATGCCGTTGGGTTTGAAAAATAAAACGTTTCAAGCGTTAAAGATTATAATCAGGAAAATATAAAATATGAATAAGTCACAAATGTAAATATAAGTAATAAGGTATCATTTTAAAACATCTATCGGGCTATAAATACGGGTTGGTACGAGATCAAATTTACCATAAAGCCCTTCGGGCTTTATGGAATTTCATCTCGTGACCAACCCGTATTTATATCCCGATAGATGTTTAAAAATGATACCTTATTTCTTAAATATATTTGAAAATAGTGTCAAAAAATCTTATATAAACTTGTAAATTAATTACCATTTTTTAAATAATCGAATGTGTTCTGTTTTTGTTGAATTTCCGTTTCTCATTTTTTTTCCCAAAGGCAATGCATTCAGCGATGAGAAATGAAATAATTATAAATTAAACAAATAATTATTTTGAATAGTATAAGATATCTGATGAAGTAAAATTACAATTTAAATAAACTTCATTAACAAATAGAAAAAGATCCGAGATACTCCAAATGAAAAATACAGAGATGTCCCGGAAAGGTGTAATAAAGGGTGTGATAAAGGGTGAAATAAAGGGTGCTGATACAGGATGTGTAATACAGGGCGCGTGCCTGTGTTCATATCAGGGATGCAAAAATCCTGTATTATATAACAAATATATAATAAAATATAGTATTAATGAGCACCCATTTGCGGACCTCATGTACATACATGTATAAGCTAACTGTTTATGCAAACACGATTTAAGAGAAGAATATGCTAATTTCACGACTATCTAATATTACATTTATGTGATCAGTAATATGTTGACCCAATGTACATGAAATATGAAGATAACGAACAGTAATCAAGCTCAAAAGTCCTTGGAACAATACAAATCGGGAGCAGAGCAAACACGGACCTCCCAAACAACAGAGGTGGGATCAGGTGCCATGGAGGAGTACGCATCCCCTGCCGACCGGTCACACCCGTCGTGTGCTCCTTGTCATGATCGAGGAAACGGGAATATCAGTAGACAATTCAATGTGTAAATAATGGCCAAACAATTAGTATGAAAAACGTCATTCAGCCTTCGACTCAATACTGGACTGTATTTGCTGACAGGGTCATTGTATCGACCATAGAACTTGCGAAATGATGACTTCAAACGAGACTGCATGTTGATATCTTGTAAGTCAATATCTTGCCCCGTTTTAGAAATTGTTCGTATGCAGAGCATCAGCTGGGAGACATAAACTCCATATACAGGTGATAAGGGTATATTGTTACATGAGTTAGTTCACATAGCACATATACGTTTACAGTTTATTTAAATAAGACTGAAGAGCAAAAATACGAGTTCACGACTATAATACAATTTATATAAAGAGCCATATGCTCGTCTTACGACATTACTAGTAGTTCACAGTTTATGCACAGTTTATACAACAAGATCTTAATCCTTTTAAATGATTTTTAGGTATCTTTGACATACAGATAGGCACAAGAAAACAATATATTCTCGATGAGATCTTCTAGTCCTGGAGAAGAACTGAAAGTTACAACTGATTTTTTGCTCCGGTACAAGCAATGCACAATGAAGCATTCATGATGGCCTGGAACAAGTTTCTGCAATTTTATCCCAGAAAACAATATTTCCTTGGGGGTCATCAGGATATTCAATGTAGGACCTACTTTCCACCAAAGCTAACATTGATAAAGGCAATGTTTTAGCTGAAACATGCCGATACATAATGAGAAACAGAACATCTTTACCATTCCGTGTATAGATACTCTCCATCCGTGCCATATTGAATTCAAACATGCACCAATAAGAGTTAAGGAAGTTGTTTGATAGAACTATTATTGTTTTCCGGCTTTTGGTAATGGCTTCTGTGATATTGGCGGCTATTTCTGTACCTGGTCGGAAGTCTCTTTTACTGAGGCACAGCTGTAGACCTCTTAAATCCTCTAGCTGGGAAATCGACTCGTTTACAGCAAAGTCGCTGTCCTCTTCAGCGTACGATATGAAGGCATCAAATATAAACGTGCCTTTGTATAAAGGGCTTGATAACCGGTATTTGTTTCTTGTCATGTAATATATATAGCGCAGTTTCCATCGGTACCGGTAAATCAAACCGGTGACCGTTATCACGACAAAGAAAATAATAACGGAGGATACTAGGAATGTTACCAATTGAAAATTTGTGCAGTAAACTTCAAGAAATCTTACAGCACTTTGAAGTCCGATGCTCGTTCCATTATCAAGCACGCATGTAATGTTTTGAAAATCCGAGATGTATTGGCGGTTTATAAAAGACCACTGTATGAAATGTTTTGATTCACATGTACAAGCAAACAGATTATATGCGAGAGAAATCTTTATTGAAGTTTTCCTCTTGAATAGTTTGGAAAATGAGAGCACGGTCTTACCACTGAGCTGTCGCAGTAAGTTCCTCGAAAGGTCAATTTCTGTTAGGTTCCTCATGTGGTGAACTTTTACATTCCATTCCGTCATAGAGTTTGATTTCAGGTTAAGTTCCCGAATATTTCGTAGGTTTTTGAAGATTTTTACTGGTAAGTTTTTTATTTGGTTGTCAGATAAGTCCAACTGTTCAAGATTTACAAGATTTTTAAAGGTTTCTCCATCTGTGTCGTTTTCCAGGATTTTCCCAAGAAGATTTTTATTAAGTTTCAAAACTTTCAATGAGTCTGTATAATTAAAGAAATATGTGGTCAATGACGGACAATGGCATTCAGAAAGATCCCAATATTCTAACTTTTTTAATCCTTCAATGGGACCTTTAAAGCTTGTTATTGGGTTTTGAGACCAGTCAAGGTGTGCAATACAATTGTCTGCATTGAATTGTATGTCAGTAATATGCGTTTTTAGGCCATACCCTTTTATAGTGATATTTGTTAAATTTTTCGGTAGCAGTATTATAGGACCAAAATGTGGAACTGCAGTTTCCCCCGACGTTATCTCATATTTCACGGAATATTCGTCTATTCCATTTTTGCAAATGCGTACTGGATTCTGACAATCAAAAGCTTCCCGCATTTTAATGAAAGAAGGGGAAGTATATTGGAAAGATGCGTCAATTTTTTCTATGCTGGATAAAAATTCAAGCTCCAGTAAGTAAAGACCTATTGTCAGTCTATTTTTGACAAGCGAAATAATTTTAAGACTAGGAGGGAGGAATTTAAGAACATTCATTTCAAGAAGGGCTAATCTGTTGTCGTCTAGATAGAGTTCTTCAAGGGTAGTATTTTGAAAGTGCACGATGTCACTGACTTGCATCACAGTACCTACTCCAAACGTGCAGTGGATTTTGTTGGCTTTGAAAACCTTTATTTTAGAAAACTGTAAACTACGAGAAAGATTTTCAAAACTTGCAAAAGTAAGTCTTTCATTGTAGGAAATATTAAGAATGGAAAGGTTTCTTTGTGTTATCAATGCATCTGCTGCAAATGAGCTCAGGTTACAAGCAGATACGTCGAGGATTTCCAAGTGTGGCATATTTATGAGGAAACTCTTTGTCATTGTTCCCACAGAGCAGAATCCCGTGACGCCTGACACGTCCAGTTCTCTTAAAGACGTCAGGAGCTGGAACGGCCCTTCAAATTGTGTAGGAGATCTGACATCAATTCTAAGAATCTGAAGTAAGGTGAAATTCTTCCAGATTTCATGTGGAAATGCATGTATTCTTTTACTTGTACAGTTCTTGATATTAAGTTCACGTAAAGCTTCTAAGTCTTTAAAGACATTTGGCCGATAAATACTTTCGTCAAGTTCAAGGTTATTTCCTTCTAAATTCAATGTTTTTAACCTTGTTAAATTTGCAAACGCGTCGTCCGAAAAATTTTGAATTTTGTTGTGAGATAGGTCGAGATGGTAAAGTGAAGGACAGAAGGTTGTTGTCAAAGAAGTGATGTTGTTGTGTTGAAGCAGGAGAATGACAACATCCGGTCGGGTTATCGGAACTTGCGTGATTCCCAGATTTGAACAATTTGCAGTGTAAAACTTGTTCATATTCCCAACTGGACTACAGCGGCAGGCAGGGTTGTTCGTGCATTGTCTGCCAAATCCATTCATTGCAACCACTACAAAGTCAGCAACCCCAAACAGGAATATCTACAAATTAAACGTTACGCGAATGAAGAACTCATATTTTTACAACTATTGAAATTATTCAAAAATGAAATAAATAAAACAATGATCTAGATCTAAATTTTCTCTTGAGACAAGGTGCTTAACAACAATTTATATAAATTAAAGAAATCCCTTTAAAGATATTAGTTAATATTCAAAATCTTAATGAAACTAGAACTGTTTTGGATTCTTGATAAATACTCTGTGATATATAAATGGAATGACGGTGGTACTTTTTTTTAAAACTAAAAAAAAAACAAAAACAAAAAAAACCCAGAAACAAAAACACCCCCCCCCCAAATAAAACCAACCTTATTAATTCTCATTTCAATAAATACGAAGAGATTCTCCTTGTGTTTTGTAATAGATATATTTTTATTCCAAGGGACGGATGTGACTATCTGGAGAGATTATTTGATACCCACTGCGTCCACTTCAAGAGCAACAGCGTTTTTAGCAGCGGTTTACGGCTGCTTATAATTTGATATGTACATGTATGTGTATTGGCTTTCATATTTAAGGCAACATACTAGGGGTACCATACTTCAGAACTGACTTTACCTGACGCATGTGACGCTATCAATTAAATTAAGCCATTGAAAACTAATAATTCGTTGTAAATACATCAAAAGAAATCATTCAGCCTCCAATTCATATAGTAAAAAAAATAACAAGAGAATGATACATTGTTATGACCTCACAGAAGTGTTGTAATTGGTAGAAAATATTCCCTAGGTACTGAAACATTTTATTTTTCAGTATAACCACTCTTACCCATCAGTAACACTTTGTCAGAAAAGAATTCATTATTCTGGACAGAGCTTTTGTGATATTTTAAAAGTAAACGAAAATTGTGCTTTTCTAAGAATTTTCATATTTGAATGGATTTCTCTTTGCTAAATTATCATACAGTCCAGCGCAGGTATATGTTGACCTTAGTTCAATGTCATGATTCCATTTACGTGCGGAAAACAACCTTTTGTGCTTTTATTATTTACTTCCACTTGACAAAATGAAAATGTTTCATATATTTTTTTTTATCTAGTCATATTTTTTTTTATACTAAGAAAGTGAAGGGATATATTTATTATACTGTTTATAAGCCTTTTTTTGTAAAATAGACAGGCGAGCTCTACTGTCCCCTGGCAGCTCTTGTTAACTGATAGTGCATAACAAATTACTTTTTGATTGTTTGATTGCATGTTTTATAAGATACAATGATATATCTACTTAATCTACAACATGTAATCATTTAGCTATACTTGAGGGTTCTTAGATATCTATTTGGAAAGTTATGCATCAATACGTCTATTTTTGTTAATTGTATCATTTTTTCCTCTTTGTTTAAGTGATGATATCAATTATTGCTTTTTTAAATATAAAAACTAGATATATCTAACTATTTTATAAGGAAGCTCTCCAGATCTTTGAAAATTCATAATTATAATTAAAAATATTTCCTTAGTATGAAAATAAACACCCGTTGTGAAATATGTTAATGACACAATTCAAAACTAGTGCTAATTGTAACGGGAACCGTTACAGATGTTCTCGAAACACTCACCAACTCTCTTGTGGGTCCATTCCCTATAGGTTTCATTAAATTAAGCAATTCTTTTGTGTAATAAATCTACACACTTTATTTTCAGAAGTATTTAATCTAAATACAATGCCGGTATTGTCCTTTGAGTATTAGCCAATCAGATTACAGAGCACGTGCATGTCCATGGTTTCTAGATAGTTCACATGTTTCCCCATAAACAGACTCACAATAAATACCTATGTAAGAAATTTCATTTTCGTTGAAAACTCTGAGAGATACAGCCATATATAAGAATTAGCCAATCAGAATCCAGCACATGCGCATGCATATTCTTGTATTTAATTTTGATAGTAGTACAATTTAGAAACCCATTATACCTATCTATATTCTAAATTCCATCATGTTTTGTTAAAAACTAAGAAAGTTACGGACATTTAAAGTTTAAGCCAATCAAATTGCAGCACACATGCATGCGAGCTTTTTCATAAACATAACGTCATAAATATGACGTCATAAACATCGCAGCACGCACACCTGACTTTCCAGTGAATACGGCCTCAAATAAGGTGAACATGTAGTATTATGAACCGTTTGCGTTTGTATAGTTATCATAATCTATTAGTTAAACAGATTATTAAATTATTGTTATTTATCTATTGAATAAATTAAAGATATATTTTTGTTACAGTGTGAAAGAATATCAAAGTAATATTTTGTTCAGTGTGAAAAATATCAGAATTTTGGCAAAACTTTCCATTTTGCTTTCCTTCACAAAAATTTTTCTAAAAAGTACCCCCTGGCCTGTTATAAGATAGGGTAAGTAAACCAATAGTATTATTGTTATTTAATGTTTTGATTTTTATATATTAACTCTCTCATGGTCTATATTAAAACATTATTCAGAGCACTTTGCAGAGTAAAGGACAAAAATAGTACGTGTCCACGAATGTGACGAAATCCGTATTTATGGCATTATGACGTCAGATTCAGCCTTGCGGCTTGTACAGTTTACAGCACTGATAAAGTTAGGAAAATATTCTATATTGTTTAATAAAAAAAAAATAGAATTAGCTAAAGTTTATATTTAAAAATTATCAAACATACACTGTATTTGTCAGTGTAATCATTATAGAAAATATTCAAGAAATTTTCCCTTGTACATATACATTAGGTTTGGTATGGAAGAAATACACCAATATTAAATTTGTGATAGCTGTCAAATCGATCCCAGGTAATGCTTTTACGTTTTTCAAAAAAAATTGTAGGTGACAATACCATCACAAAAATACACATTTTCTGTTTGTTTGTCCTGAGACTGCACAAATATTGTGTTCTGTATTCATAATTCATTCATAAAGAGCTATAGAATTTGCAAAAATGAAAAAAAAAAAAAAAAAAAAAAAGAATTCTTGTTTAAAAAATATCTTTTGCAAAGTAATTTAAAAAAACAATATCACATTCTTAGAAGTCCTGAAATTTAATCAATTACTTTTTCATGAAATTGACACCATCCATGATTAAAACCGTGGATTTAAATGCACGCTTGTTGTTCCTGGGGCATTTGTGTAGCGTATACATGTATGAGTTTTAATTAAATGTTTGCAAAATTATTTTATTTATGTATCTAGTGAAATAGTATTGGAAAAAGAGTTACTTCGTTGAATACTGCTTTTCAGCAAAGGAATACTTTGACATACCAATACTCAAGGGATTTTTCTTATCATGTAACATAGCGATTATTTATTAAATTCATTTTTTTTTTTTATTTTAACGTACATCTTTTTTTTTTTTTTTTTTTTTTTACCATTTATACATATGCACGTATCACAAGAACCACAATCAATATAATTTTTTTAGTCCTGAAGAGGATATTTTTCCAAAAGTAATTCCGACTTGAAATTAATAAAGCAATATACATATGAAAGTGCTAAAACTTTGGATTTAAAAAAAATATTCAACGAATTATATACACAGCCTGTATGAGATAAATATTTATATTGCTACATGTGTACACCATTTCACACAACTTACCACTTCATCTGGACGTTCATAAAATAAATAAAAAAATAAAAAGTCAAACTCTATTCATATATGTAAATAATATGTAGATAAAGTAATCGCTTTGAAGCAGTATTGCCATATTTTAAACATTCCAAGATTGCTAACTTTGATTAAATCGAACACTTTCTATAAATTCTATTTGTCATGCGTTGAATACTATTGAGTTAGATGTGAAATTTCTGAATCTTTAATTCGTTGAAGATTTTTAGTAACATGATCGTGGAACAATTTTTTAAAAATAAAAAATGATAAACATAAAATATCTAAATTCAATTTACTCATATCATTTATCTCAGTTTAAAGATTAAAAATGAAGTATGATCCCCAAAGACAGATCTAAGATTATTTTGATATTAGTAACTGCTATTAGAAATCCATACTTTATCCCATGGAATATTAAGGACAAAATTTAAAAGGATTTCAAAAGTTTATAAAACTTACCAATTTGTAATATTTCATTTTACATGAAAATGAAAGATTCCAATAATCATTGTTTAGAGTCAAACGACAAAATGACGAATAGATATTTCTAGAGAACGTAAGCTTTATATTATGTTGTAAAGTTATAGGAAATTAATGTTTTAGTGTTCATCATTAGCTACAATTTTAAACTATATTAATCTCGATGCAATCGATGATCATAAAACAAGGAAATAACTGGACTGATTTTTACATATAAGGAATAACCAAAGTAAAGCTAGGTATAATTCTAAAACCATCATTTAGAAAAGTGTCCGAAGATATGGCATCTATAGAGATACAGGAAGTCTTTGCAAAAGCCAAAGGAGGACAGATGTCATTTAAATTATTAAATAAGTTATCATCATCTTAGTACGTTGCATATCATTTTAAAACATGCATTGGTACTTGGTGAGGAACTTTGAGTTATTATTAATAAGAATCTCACTGGATATGAGCTGGCATACATATACGATTTTATGAACCATCCTTAGGTACATGTATTTAATACATGAATATCATGTACTTTATATCCGGTGTGATTAGTACTAATTAAAAAAACATAATGGGTGCAACAATAATCAATGCATGTTCTAAAATGGTATAGAATGTACGAAGATGATAAAATGTTTGAAATAGCAATAAGATGAGAAAATTCATCGTGTTTTTGCATGCTGCATTATTCTGAATCAAAGAAGTTTTCTTGGTTTCATTGTGTATTTTTTAACCGTACCTCAGTGTAAACTTCACAAAATTTTCATTCATTGCCTTAGCACAAACATGTAAAACTTAAAAAAAGGAGCTTTGCAAGAAAATAGTTTGCTTCAGACGCTCAGTATAGTCCAACGAGTACTTTTAAGTTATTCTTCAGGAAGAATAGTTTTGAAACAGTTTTTTATA